AAAACTGAAATCAGCAGAAGTCATCTCAAATTCTGTTCTGTTTTGTAAATGACTCCTGGTCATTGCTAATCACATATCAAACTGACAAAACAATTTAGTGTTCCTTATAGCATGCATGCATATCTTTAATACCAATTAAAATTAATTACAGGGAACAATGTGTTCATATAATTCTCAAATATTCATGACACTGTTTTATGCTAAAAGCACTTTAGATTTCTTTTGGTAATATTGATCTGTGATGATAGGTCCAGGATCAGGTTGCAGATAATATAATAAGGTCTTCAGTTCAGAATTATTCATTTCTAAATTAAGGTTATAAAAAAAAAAAAAAAACTGGTGAAAATAGGAGATAAAGACAATTTTGGATGAGAAACAATGAAAACACATTTTATAGCACATTAACAGCTGTATTTTGGTTGTTTGGGTATCGTGACATTTGAAACATGATTTTTTTTTTTTTTTTTTGCAAACAAGATGGTTTTTTTTGTCAAACTTGAAAAAAAAAAAAAAGGCAAAGTCTCTAGAAAGGAAGTTTTAAAAAAGTAGACATTTGAATACTAGTTGTGGATATTTTCATTATTTCATATTTTTGAAGAAAATGAGTTTCTTCTTCATTCTTTGTTGTTGTTGTTGTTATCTAAATTTAAAGGAAAAGACATTGTCATAAAAATCAGAAACAAATATAAAAGTGTAGCTACACACAACATCCGTCTGTATCTTTGTATGCACAAGGCAAATTGACAACTTCATTAATATAGACTGGATTTGATTAACATGCAGAGTAGATTCAAAGATTCCTCTAAATTGCTGTAGTAATTTTTCTATAGGATGTAATACTAAAGTTTAGTTATTAAAATTAACAGCTGTTATTTATTATAGAAAAAAAATACTTGACATTTCATCAACATTAAATATAGCAGGATCAGTTTTCTCCAAAGTTGAATAAAAATTATTTTTTTAATTTTTACATTTAGTTCAATATTGTTTATTTCCTACAATGAGAACACTAAGATCAAACAAGTACAAAAATTTAAATATCTTGGAAGTATTTTAATAGAAGACAGAAAATGTCATACCAAAATCCAAAAGTTCATTGGGATAGCAAAAGATGCCTTCCAAAAACTAATCAAAATATTAACAGGAAAATTTGGTGATTAACAAAAAGAGTACTGTACTGTTATGTAATATTAGTCCTCTTATATGGCAATGAAAGCTGAACAATCTCCTCACAGATGAAGAAGAGACAAAAGAAATGTTCTACAGAAGGATGCTGAGAATACCATGAACTGAACATGTGAGCAATGACAATTTTAGAGAAAATGTAAACAAAAAGGACACATACTTAACATTAGAAAAGAAATAGTTGAAACTTCTAGGAAAGTGGGTTTAGAAAATTTGATACTCACAGGACATATTAAAAACAATCAATTTAAACATCAATTCAATTGTTCATTTATGGAATATGTTGTAGAGATTCATTTGCATGCAAGATCCTGCCCCTACAAGTTATAGATAGCTATCAAAATGGCATGATTCAATATCTTTCCAGAGCTCTTTTGACCACTTTTGAGATTGATGCCATGATGAGTTACTGTAATTTGCCAAGCTAATTGAATATTAGGCACCTATCCTATAACTTTTAACTCATCACCAAGAGAAGAATTCTCCAATGCAATTAATAATATCTACACTCAGCATTATTTCATTTATTATTTTTCATTTATTTTCATTTATTTTTTGAACTATAGTCTTCATTTTTCACATTGCATTTAACTAATTACATTCTTCCACCATCCTTATGCATATGCTGTATGATGTGGTTTGGGGGTTTTGGTTGTGTAAGGATATAACAGAAAGAATGTAGAAGTTGAGAGAGATCCAGTTGAAAGTTTAGGTTGTTAACAGTCAAGAATTTGAAATGAACATAGGTTCACATGTTATGGGGGTAGAATAAATTACAAAGGTACATGACTAAAATGATCTGACAGATCCAAGTTATTTTAATGAGATTAAAACAAATTTTATTGATGGTGGACTGTCATTATTTGATGTTGATAATTTAATCTGTAACCATAGCATTTGAATCTTTGTAGATTTAAAATTCCAGACTTTTAACAACATAAATGCTCCTCTGATTATCCCCTTACTTCTATCTTCTTGAAAATGATCAATGATAGTTGAAAGTACTTGGAACATTACACAAAATTTTGGCAAGTTCCTTTACAAATTTCCACTTGAGATCAAATGAGTTATACAATTATGCTAAGAAGGAACTCACCAAAAGGCTTATTGTTTGGCTACATTTGGTTAAGATTCAATAATTTAAAGTGTATTTATTTTTGTTTTACATAATGATGTGTTATTTTTTAGAATTCTTTAAAGCTAATTTTATTTCTTCATAGATGACATGGCTGGGAAAATGATTATTGTCAAGTCTTTTATTTTGATTAATTCTTAATAAAATAGTGTGTCCAAGAAAGAAGTCATTTTCACATGGTTAATTATGTTTGTTTTTTTTTTTTTTTTTTTTAAAAACAAAACCAAAACAAAACAGCTATATCATATCTGTGAAGGCAGGATGTAATTAACATCTTATCTACCATATTGACAACATCCAGTTCTTGATAAGGTCTCCGTAACAGTCAAAAGAAAGTACTTGAATAAAAACAAAACAGCTTTGAACAATTTATCGAGTTTTGATCCGAATGTGAAAATTGGAAAAATAATAAATAATTAGTCAGAACTTGTTGGTTGACTTTAACAAAACTTGTTTGAAGATATATATATATATATATATATATATATATATATATATATATATATATATACACACACACACACCTTATAAGTGCTGATTAAAATCTTAAACCCACATTTGATGACACATTTTACAATATAGAACATTTCATTTCTTTCAATTCATTAATAGAATATCTAAAAGTCTTTACCAATGTCCAATTTATCTTTAATGTTACAATAATTTTCAATTAGCTTTTATTCACATCAGTATCTTAATTTCAAGAGAGACTTTTCTTTTGTTCAAGTGAGTTGTGATTAATGAGCTATAAAAGGTTAATGTGAAGAAATAGGCAGTTGCCTTTGAAGTCTTCATTTCGATGTTTGAAGCATAAAGCTGATAACTGAAACTGGTTTTGATTGAACAGTGTGCACAGCAGAAAAAAAAAACTTTTGAAAAAAAAAAAAAAAAGTGATTGGATTTCTATGGTAACAGATGAGAAGAGAAAATGTGGCTTAGATTAACAAAGACATTTCTTCCAATTAATTAATTACAACAATGGCAATCAGAAATTGGAAAGATTTTAACCCTAAGGAGAAATTGATTGAAATGTAAAGATTTATTTTTTAACAATGGCTATGTCATATCTCTGAAATTTTGTTTCAGTAGTTATCTTTAAGGATAATGCACTGTAGCCAGAAAGTCAGTAACAATCGTAGGATTTGATCAGTAAAATGAAGTAAAATATAAAATTATTTTAATTTATAGATAAAATGTCTCAAGTATGAAATTCAGTTGAAAATATGGCTAGAACCATATTCAAAATACCATATATATTTTGATCATAATCAATACTCATAAACAGTTTTGCAAGTCTAAACTTTTCCAAAACAGAAACTATGATACTGAAATGAAAGATGTGAAATTAGTAAATATTAAACACTTCAAATACCTCCCTGTATGGATCAATTATAACAAATTTAGTACAAGAGATAAAGAAATTGCACATAGAAAAAATGTACTAGAGGTAGTTTTGCTCAACACCACCCATTGCTACATAACCAAAACATTAATCTAAATACTTGAGTTTTGTTCTTAAATAAATAATTGCTAAAAATAACTTTGAGAGAGCAAAGCATGTAGGTCTCAATGGGGATCATCTTTCTTCAAACCCCATAGACTGGTGCTACAGAATCACAAACAAAGAACTGTTCCAGATAACAGAAACCACATCACTAGCAACAACTAAACTTAACATGTAACTTAAAGGGAAAATAATGGTATGATCAAGATGTTAATGTTCCACACTACTTCAAACAAATGGCAAGAAAGGAAGCAGTTAGTAGGATCAATAACATTAGTTGTTTACAATCCCTTCTCATTTGGTTCAGCTTATTCACACTAGGCAATATATTACTGGCAATGTTAATAATACAATATCTAATATCATTTATTCAATAAAAATGAATCTGCTTATATACTAATTATCCTGGAATCATTTAAACTCCTTATTTTTACTTTAAAGAAAATTTTCAGTTTAAAAATTAGATAGGTTCGCTTATCATCCGGTATTCACACTCCCCACCGGAGTAGGGGTTTATCCTTTGTTTAGGATTGGGTCTCTGGTTCCTTCTAAAGTCTACTTCATCTCTATACTTCTAATGTCTCTGACCGAACCTTGAAATATTATTCACTAATTAAATCTTGATTTCTTCAAGTTTGGAGTTAGCTGTTATTTTTCCTGCATAGCCCCAAAACTTTACTTCTTGTCCTTTATTATGCTAATACAACATCACACTGTAACCCTCTACCTTGAGTGGCTCTTAGGCCTTGTATTGAGAGAACATCAGTAAAAAAAATATATATATATATATATATATATATATATATATATATATAAATAAATTTATGTTGATGTTGTTACCTTGTAGTCATAAGCAGTTATTTTATCCCAGAACATACCATATAACCTTGATGGTAAATTCAGTTAAATTAGATAAATTTATATCTATAATATTAATTGTTCATACTATATTATAAAAATGCAATTAAAACTTTGTCAAAAGCAATAATAAATATAACATAATTTATATACTATAAAAAATACAAATATTCTTGTAAAATCTTTGAAAATTAATGCTATATCACTTAGTTGCCAATATCTTTAACCAGGGAAATGGCTACACTTCTATATATGAGAGACAGAGAAATATGTTTCTTTATTTAGAATAAATAAAAATAAATTTGATTTCTCACTCACCATGACAGGATCAGAGTCATAAAAACTATCTGCATCAACAGGTTCCTGGGCATTTCTTGAATTGTCCAGGGAGAGAAATGCACGAACGTCTGGACTGTAAAAATATCAGAATGAAAAAGTCAGAACTGTATTGCAGTTAAAACTAAAAATTAAAAGGTTGAAAAAAGAACAATAAAAATTACTTGGCTGTAACAACATATCTATTGACAATTGTAAAATTTTAATGCTAAGATAAATCTTCTGAATCTCTGTAAATTATTTCAATTTAAAGCAATAAGTAAATAAACATGTCACATCCAACTTTGTCAATATTAACTAAAGAAGAAATGCTATCAGTATTCCACCATTTGAACTAGTGTCTTCATCTCGGTTGTTTAGTATCCAAGGTGAGATAGAAACCAAACTTTAAATAATGGATAACAATAAGTGCTTTCAGTTGTAAAATATTTTCTCTTAAAAGTATATATACATATATATGTATTTTTACATTTATACTGCTACAAATATAACCAATGTGCTACCAATAAAGTCATCATCAGATGATGACGTGAGGACAAGTATAGTTTCAGGGCCAAAATTAACCCAGGGCACCCAGTAGTACTTTATCAAGAAACTTTTGTTGAGCTATTATTACCATGTGTGGATGCCAAGTGAAAATACAGCCTCAATAAACACGTGCACAAAAACTAAGAATTCTTGAAGCTATATACTTAAAACAGTTGAAACCTAACCTAAACAAAATAAACTATGAAATCTTCACAAATATCCTTAAATGTCTATAATTGGTAACAGAAGCCATTGGTTTATACCAACGGCTTCCCATACTTAATACTTCTCGAATTCACTCTCATGTGGTCATGTGTGACGTCATAAGCTGCGGTGCGATTTTCGTTTCCAGCGTCTTATACGCACATGTTTATCATTGCTTGGAAATCATCCATGTAAACAGAAACAGACTATCATCACATTTTTGTCCGTGTATTGCTTAATATATTGTACAGTAATTGTCATCTTTGATAATGGCTTATGTAAGCCAAAAGCTTAGATTGGATTAAAAAATATGTATCAATATTGTGATTTTCTTTCTTCTTTTCATAACATCTGATAAGCTTATTAACATTATTATTAAATGTATTTACATACAATAAATAGACAACACTTGTCTATATTATTTAATGAAACATGTATATATATATATATATATATATATATATATATATATATATATATATATATATATATATATATATATATACACACACACAAAAAATTTCTCTTTTCACTTTTTTCAATCACCACTAATTATAATGCAGTTAGAAAAAATCCAATAATGAGTCCACATTTCTAAATCACTGTCAATGGGTTGCAGCAAAACCTCTATACCATTCATGACATTTGCAAGAGCACACAAAAAAGAACTAATTTATTCTTTAATAGGATATTCTGAAAGTACTAATAATATCCCTATGTAAAGAATTTAAACAACAAAAAAGATTAGTAATATCTTCCACTTATTGCTTTTTTAAAATAAATCTTTTAAATCTCTTTTGAGAGATGAGCTTATCTTCACTTTATTCCTTTAAAAGACATTTGTGCATTTAGTTTTGACAAAAGGGATGCTTCATATTGAAATATTACTGAAAATAATATTGATCAATTATGGTTTATGTAAAGATAAAATATGACAGAACATTACAATTGAAAGTAAAAGTGGAAAAGCCATGCCACTATTTTGTATAATTGTTATATTGTATGAATAGTTTTTCTTCATACATACTCTCAAATACAGGATACTGAAAATGTCTGTAATTTACTGCTGGGATTGATATCAGATGATTTATTTACCAACAGTTATTTATTTGAACCAAAACCAATCATCAGACACACACACAAAATATGGTAATGAATTATCAGTGTTCAAAACTCTTTAAGGTAGAAGTCATAAAAGTCATAACACACACAAACAAACAAAAATAAATATATAGTATTTCAACAAAAAAAAAAAAAAAGAAAAAAAAAAGAAAAGAAATTGGGATCATGATGAATTTAGAATGGAACTGGATCTTACCAAACTTGATATACAATGCTTATACATTACATTCAACTTTCATAATGTTCAAGTGTGTGTGTGTGGATCTAGATAGTTGGCAGTGGTTATGTTAGTTGCAGAATTAATCATTGTAGGTCATTCTGTTATCTCAATGTTCTAGGATATGAATACTTATTTGTCCAGAGCAAAATAGGTTGATATCATATAACATCTGGTTGACATACTGAAGAATTAACAATATGAATTTGAACTCCTATAAGAACTGCACAAGGACAAGTTATTTTAACAAATAGGAAATTTTATTACTATATAAAAAAATAAAGATTTTGTATGATTTTTATTGCTCTGAATATATTCCATGTCAAGAAATACAATGTAAATCATTTTTTTTTTAAAAAACTCAATGTTATATTTGTTTCTCAATAGAGACTCAAATGAGTGAGTAACTGGAGTTGAATATTTCACCCTACTGCTCACAGTTTACTAAAATATTTGACGGTTTAATTGGATATGTATCAAATATAACTCATTGAGTTTTGCAGCATTATCAAATAATGATTATAAAGTAATTCTTAAAATATATCTTTATCCTCTTTTGAAGAAAGTAAACAGATTTCAATTATGTATTTAAACTTTACTCATAATCAATAAAGTATTAATTTGAATAATGAGAAAAAAAATGTCTTAATATTTTGTAGAACCCCCCTGTAAACAGGTCCCTAGATATTAAGTGATTCTTAAAGAATCTTTAAAAGATCCTACTATGAAAAAAGGCATTTGTCTCTGATATGTCTCGGGAAGGGATATATTTGATCGAAGTAGCTAAGTGGTTTTGGCTACTGTAACCAAGTAGTACACAGTAGCAGTAATCGACTGGTACTCGTCGTAGTCACAGGTAATAGGTGTAGACCAATAGGATAGCCAATGGCATAGTCCAATGGGCATCGTCATAGACTTAAATTCTGTCATACCTACACGTCCGTCTGTATTTATGACTGACACCAGCCAATCATATTCCAGTGAGGGGGGAACTCAAGTGTATGCATATTCCATTATATCAGTCTCTTAGTAAAAATAAAATTATAATCAAGTAGAAAACTTTCCAAAATCACAACGTTGTTTCATAATTAATTTTCATTACTTTAACTGTTTAAACTGAATAGTTTCTTCTGTATATAATATATGTATGAATAGGAATTTTTAAAAGTGAATCTCTCTTATTGTGAACAGTCAGAATATATTCTGTTATAGATAAAAAAAGTTTGACTACACAAATATATATATATATATATATATATATATATATATATATATATATATATATATATATGTATGTATGCATATAGATGAATAAATGCGTAGGAACACCTGTTATGTCTTGTTTTTATTTACATAAAATAGTTTTGGTGATAAAGAGTGTTGATAATTGTTTGAGTGAACCAACCAGAAGTAACAAGTTCAGGTAAAAAAGCATTAATATCATACAACAAAATGTATCAATATAATCAAAGATTTTACTTGTAAATTCTGTGAAAGAAAGTAAAAATACATAATTTTTTTTTTCAGTGTTCACATATAACTCTCTGCTGACAGTGAATTGGTTTTGTCTTGAACAGTTTGTCTGCAAAGCCTCACCAGAAAACTTGATGCAGACAAGGAAGGAAAATAAATGTTTTTGCATTCTAGCAGGCAAATCATAATTACTTCCCCTGAGTCATTCATACTGGAAAAAAAAAGTCACCTTACTTTCAAAAACAACTAATTCTTTTGAAAGGAAACAAAATTTCTAATATCACAAAAATTAACTTAATAATGAAATTTTTGAGTAACTAAGTTTTGAGTCCTCTACAAATAGTGTAACATAAATACTTATTCAATCCCTGAAGATGTAACAAAAGAATATTGTTTAAAAAATCAAAAATAAAGGAGAGAGAGAGAGAGAGATACACAGGTAAGTGTGATTATTTATTTGTACTGGTTAACATGGAGGAAAAAAAAACAGATGGTATTTTTCTTCACCTTATGGGCAAGAATTTTGTTTATATACAAAATATGAAGGTAGATCTGAATAAAATGCTTGTAGGTAATAAATAGACAAGTAAAATTAAAATGAAGTGGACAAACTCAAAACATTCGTAGCACATAAGTTCCTTTCAATTCTATTTTCTCATTCATATCTGCATATTTCACTTCCTTTCACAATATTTTGATGATGTGAATATATAAAGAAATATAACAAAGTTATCTAACTCTTGTCTGTCAAAAACTAATTACCTTCATTCATTTTATTCTGAGTTTTAATGAAAATTTGATGCGAGACATTAGATTTCATGTTTATTTCAACACAAGTCAAATTCTGCAGTAATGTTTCCAACACTTACCAAAAATAAACATTGACTGAGTAATGACATCACTTGCTAAGATTCCAGTATATTCATTAAGTTTTAGTCTTGTGAAATAAATGAATTAAAAATAACAAAAACATTTATATTTAAAAAAAATAGTGAATAACATTGGTAATATGTAAACACTATAAGAAATATATTTTCGTATACATATTAAAAAATAGTTACCTAATTATTTATAAAAAGAATTTTAAATGTATATGACTCTCCACAATATCTTTACATGACTCCAAATAGGGTTATGAAACCTACTTTGAGAGCCCTGATTTAAATGCTATGTTTATAGATTTAGCATGAAGAATTTGTTCATGCTAAATAATATTAATACTTGAATTGTCTACTTCATGCAGACATTCATGTTTAATGCTCAATGGGATAAAATTGTTCAACCATTTTTTGACTCCTGGTTCTAATAATTCATTTGTTTTTATCCTTTCCTATTTTGAAAATGAGCATTCTTCATCATGACTGGTAACCATAGATGCTCATAGATGGTAATAGATTCACAAGGAAATTTTGACATTTGCAAAACAAGACAAAGAAATTACTGTTATTAAATGTTAAAACTAACTCCTTTGTTGCCAATATGAGAAGCAAGGTCAATTTTAAGCAGTTCAGCAAAATTCTTCACTAAGATTT